TGTGTGTGTGTGATAAGGACATACTCTAGTGGTTACCTGAAATCATTTGAGCTCCACGCGTGAACATCACCATCCTTTGTACCTGTAATTAGAACTGGGAGATTGGGATGGGAAACGACCTGAAAAACTGCAGACTCATGTTCAAGTGTATGAACGCACTCCTTCTTGTCCATGTCCCATATCTGATTTGAAAAAGAAAAAAGAAAAAAGAAACAAGGCACAGATATATTAGAAATGTTAGATGCATGTTGTATTAATGTACTTCCCAACATGATAGCCGACCTTGGCAGTCGCATCCCAAGAGCCACTAATCAAATACTGCTGACCATCACGCGTGAAGAAATCCAGGAAGTTCACTACATGCCTATGCCCAAACAGAGTATACTTGGATTTGTGAGAATCAAGACTCCAAACCTGAACACCAACCATAAGAGCTTCCAGTCAAGGTATAGTAGAAAATGAAACATACTCCGCCTTCATCATTGAATCAAAGATTGCTTAGCAAAGTAATAAGAGAGAGAAAGCAAAACCTTTATTGTAGCATCATGCGAAGCACTTGCAAAACTGTTGGTGTCCTCCGGGTTAAATTTTAGGGCCATAATAGCAGCCGAGTGCTCTTCAAATGTCTGTATGCAATTACGGTCCCAAAGCTTTATTTCGGTAGCACATCCTGACAGCACATACGGCTGGGTTGGATGAACGGCTAATGTACACCAAACATCTGCACGACCCAGAGCTCTGAAACTCGTGACTTTTTGCATTTCCTTTTCGTAGTTGTACATATGGACGACACAGTCAGATGACACTGCAACAAACCACCCCTTTCGTGCAATGAACTTCACATCCGTAACTGCAGTGAGAACGATCATCTTATTAGCATATCAGTGTACATATGGTGGAAGAAACTTATGTCGACAAACAAGTCAGAGAGCTTGCCAGGTTCTGCTGAGACCTTAGTCAAACCGGCCACTTTCTGCCAGTAAACACAACTGACTAAATTGTTAGTCCAATGTAAGCAAATATGACCTAAATACACACTCAACAACTGCTGAAATACTGCCATGAGAAAACAGTGGGTAAAAACATTTGCCATCTACCATCACCAAACACAGGCTTTTCCTGGTATTTGGCAATCAAAAGAAACTGTATATGCTCTTATGAATAAAATCAAAATTGCTTGGGCTGCGAGCATCTTTTTTGTACAGAGGGCACGAGGTAATAAATTTCTTTCTTTGTCTTAAATAGTAACTACCAAAGCAATACAGTAACTTGCCTGTGTGTCATAGTTCCATGTCTTAACATTCCCAAGTGAGGTACCCACTATAATCCTGTATGATAAGAAGGTATTAAATGCAGGATAATCGCAACTAGTGCATTCACTTGAAAAGGAGGTTTAGGCCTCCTTTGGTTCATAGGAATATTGTAGGAATTGCAAAGGAAGAAACTTTGTAGGAAAAATTCCTTTGGAGCCCTTTGGTTTGTAGGAATGGATTCCTATTCTTATGTAGGATAGGAATCAATCCTTCACATTTCAAAAAAAAAACATTGACCAAGACTCAATGGAAAAATTCCTATCCTATGCATCAAATGACATCTCTTTATCTATAGGATTTGAGATGCATGTCATCTCACTTCCTATGATTTTTCTATTCCTATACTATTCCTATCATATGAACCAAAGGAGGCCTTAATATTCAAATGCCCACATTATTCTATGCACTTACAACCGCTCTTTCTGATGTGCATCTATGCAATAGATTTTCCCAGCTGTATCATCTATGATCTGACCAAGCAAAATTCATGTGAACATTTGAGAAACCACCCCCAAGATGGAGGATCTGGGAAGAGAGGAAAATGAAAATCCCAAAACCAATACCTGTATTAAAGGTGGCATTGTCTGCTGTGTTGTTAGTGCATCAAAGAAGAAAAACAAAAGGAAGCATCAGTACAATTCGCTAAAGCATCAGTAAAAGAAAATCAAAATATAAGTCACAAGACCACAAAATGTATATTGTAAACTATATTTTCTGTTCGTGATTTTACATAATAAAAAGTATTTTTTTACAATCGATATATATTTTCTTACATTCTCGTTTGACTACCGACATCAGGAAAAATTACGAGAAGTAAAAATATGGTTCAGTGATGTAAAAATAGAGGGGGTGAACAATAACTATTCTTCACCCTGGTGATGAATAGTCTGACCCTACAAGTATAAGGGGACTACTGTGATTATATGGACGTATCAAAATAACTAAAAAAAAGAATTTGATCTAGAAGTATATTAATTTGGCATTCCAACTACAATCAAAGATCATTTGCACCGACCACTAATTAGATAGACAAAGTTGTGTAAGTTAATATTCTTAGAATGACGCACCTCATTGGCATCAAAAACCACATCCAAATGCACCTCATCAACCATGGTGTCCGCCTCTTTAATGAGCTTGTTTGTAGTTATATCCTCAATTGCAAGGCCATCAATCATCACTTTGGTCCACACAGTAGATTCATTGGCACGATCTGTGAGGGCATTGCCCTGCGGATGCAATGTTATTCCAACATTACACTTTGGATCGTGGCGTGATAATGCCTTTCTGTGGGTGGGTGCAGTATGCAGGGGTCTTACACCACTGGTAACCAATACTAGTTCACATATCCTAACTGAACAAAAAAAATTACTCGAAATATCGGACCCCGAAAGCTATAGTTTCCCTTTCTGAAATTTGTCTTCATTACTTTTCTGATATTGTTTGCTTTTACTTGCACCATTATTCATTACACACAGGTTTCATTTGTATCGGCTGATAATTAACTAGACAAAGCATTGCAAAAAGTTTTATTTCTTAGATTAGCGATCCTAGTGGTTGTATCAGGTGTTGATGCGCGCACGCACACACACACACACACACAACTGGTGAGACATATCAACAAACAAAATTATGACTTGTGATTTGTCAGCAAGAGTTAAATTTATTCCTATTGATTTAATACTTCTTGAAAAAGGAAAGAAGTGTAAGATAATCTAATCTACATATAATAGGACTACTGACTATATTGTGGTATTAAAATAATTGAAGAATCAATTTGATCGAGATGTTTATTAATTCGTCTCTCTAACTACAATGAATGATCATGCGTGCTCAATGCTAACTAAATGCAAAGCTTTGCAAGTTAGTATTCTTAGACAACTCACCTCACTGATTTTGTCACTTGCTTCTTGTGGCTCACTTACATCAAAAACCACATCTAAATTCACCTCATCAACCACATTCACTGTCTCTTTGATGAACATGCTTTTAGTAATATCCTCAAATGCAAAACCATCATTCACTTTGGTGCTCCACACAACAAACTCATTGGCACGCTGCATATCTATCGGCACATTGCCTTGCGCCTGCAGTGTTATTTCAATGTTACACTTGGAACGTGGTGGCATAATGTCTTTCTGCGGTTGTGTGTTGTATGACTTGGGGCTCATATTTTGGACATTGAAGGCAATGTAAGAGTCCGTCTCATTGGTTAGCTGAATCTCGCAGGACATCTGTTTGTTAAGGGCAAAAGGAAAATGTAGTTTGAGTGGCTCAATTCCAAGCATATCATCCTCCTCTAGGCAAGAGCTTATCTGCAAGAAAAGTGCAGGACATGTGTGTATTCAGTATGATAAAGATACATGGCCAGGGACATTCAAGAGTTTACCTCCCCAAATGTATATTCGTTGGCATTGTTGATTTCCTCATTTACAACTTCCATGTGGCTGATATCATTTATTATATCCCATATAAAGGGCCGCTTGGATGGTTCACGTTCTTGGCAGAGTAACCCAATTTCGATGCATTTTGCTACTTGTTGGTAGACCAATGGTGTTTCCTTTCCAGATTTTTTCCATCTGTGTCTCCATCTCCTAAGTACCTGTCATCCCACAAAATATGGCTTAAATAGAATAAATCAAAGAGTTTTAAAAAATAACCTCGAAAGTGATGGGACATGATGACTCGTACCACAAAACCCTTGTATGCGTCTCTCTCCTCTACACATAGTTAGATGCAGGTGCTAGATGCCTAGGATCGATGCAAAAAGTCTATCATCAAGCACGTAAGCTCCTAATATCTTTTCCCAAATGAGCATCCCATGTGTTCTTTTTGCTTCAAGAGAGATGAAAAAGGCTTGATACATAAAAAAAATCATAGAGATAAATGTGGATGACCATATAGATGGATTTTCTCGTTGCATGCACGTAGTGAAGGTGTGGGTACTGATTCGTCCTTCTGGGAATTGTTGATTTTATATATAACCTACTTTTGTGTTTAATCTAAACTATGTTTTTAATCTTATGCAAACTATTTTGATTATAGGAATTATATCTGGTGCAAATATGGTTGTATATATGTAGCCTTTTGATGCAGGTGCAAATATGGTTGAATATATCTCGTTGTATATATGTACTTGAACAATCTTTTGATAGTAGGATAAAATTGGCTTTATGCAAAATAAAATTTAGAGCTTTCCATTTTAGCCATATCCTTGCATATAGATGATAGGTCTCACTTGGGTGTCACTTGTCGGTACACTCAATATACTGACCTGCATGACTGCAACTTATCATGTCAAAGATTTTATATGACGAGTAACGGATGCGACGTAGGGTTACGATGTCCATACTCAACTTTGTCAGTGGCGCTGATGGGACTCCATAGTTTTATTTGTTATTTTTTGCTGTGTGAACTAGCCTGTGGGCTATGAGGTAATAAATACTCTGGATTTACGTTATATTCTTACATGTGATTTTTTTGTGGTATTTTATCAAGTACTGTTTGTGCTAGCTACTAAGATTTAGTTCAGATAGTAGCATAGTGACCACAGGGATTCAGATACTACCATATCTGGGTCGTTACACATTCTCCCAAAAATACGGCAACCAAGGAAAACACATATTGGACGCTTGGTCATTTTATTTACTTCAAGCCCGCACGCTAGGGCACTCGTTGACTCAAACCCTTAAGAATTCAAGAAGAATAATCTATTACTTGAACTAACACTACTACACCGACATACAAAAAATACTATTAACACTACGAGACTAACATATAAAAACCATAGAGATGCGGGTGACCACCGAGATGGACTTGGGGTGGTGGAGGAGGCGCCGCACAAGGTAGTTGAGGGGGGAATGGCTTCTAGCGCCCATAGTCAGGGCGAATCCCTAGCCAGGACACGCACATGTGTGTAGAGGGGAAAGAGGAAGTTGGAGCCGACATCAAGGTTGATAGTTTATGCCGTGCAATTGAATCACATCTCACCAGAAAAGCCAGAGAGAGGAAGTTGGAGCCCTCTAAGTAGGGGGTACATCAATGAAAC